ACCTAAATAACCTTAAAACCTACTTATATTTTTTAAAATTTATAGGTTTTTCCAAACCTGTATAAAGGTGGCTTTGTGATTCCCAATCCACAATAAAATACCTATTTAACCATTCATATTATAATTGGGTACCTACTAAACAAAAAAATTAAAAATTGCCATTAACATTGTAGGATAGGTATTTCTACATATTCATTTTAATAAAGAATTATTATCGCAAATAAATCATTTTTAACAAGTGGTAAAATAAAGTCAGTTACAAACCTGCAATTATCAAAAGTTATTTTCCAAAAAACCGCCTGAAGCAAACACTTGAAGCATTAAACTGTCGTAATGATAAACGGTCACTGCATTAAAAAAATTCGGCGAAAGAACGGTTCATTTTTAATTATTATACACACAGAGGTCTAAATTGTTTAATATGGTTATTATACGTAAATTTTGTTTACACAAATACACCGGCGCACAACTTGACACGCTTACAAAGCTCAAAAGTTAAAGCTGCACTGGCTACATACAGTCATACACGCTACACTGATACACTTTAGCGCATTTCAAGCTCTCCTCACAATCGAGACTCATACCTGTTGAGGATGACGTTCAGTGTTGCCAGCGTATCTGTTTTGTCAAAGAATATCTTTCACAAGCAGCAGTCGATGTTTAGTAGTCTGTTTTCGTAACTTTCAATTTTAATCCTAAATGAATGTGGCGGTGATTGTTGTTGGTTGTTATTGGTGTAAGAATTTTTCTACATCGATAGTAGTAAAATTGGAAGACAGAAAATGCTTACAAAGGGATTTTTTTTATTTTTATAGATTTCTAGAAGCAAATTATTTCATTGTCAGCAAAGAACGTAAAATTCATCGATAATAAATATTATTTATTATCACGACAGCTCCCACCACCAGAACCAAAGTACATGTTGTTTACCCCGTTCCAATGTACCCAACTATAAATAGCAAGCAAAAAACACGACATGACACTTTTTGCAATCAGATGAGGGGCTATAAAGGTTCCAATAGTGACACTTATTTTCTACATTGGAAATCATCAAAAGCGCTATTAAATTATTTTCTGAGATCGATTTTATTTGCTATTGGAACTATTTTGATTTCAACATGTTCAAACCGGTTTTACTTTATTATTAATTTAAACCTGTGTGTATTACATTTTCTAGGACGTTTGGTATCTGAAAATAGAATATTCTCACTATATGCGGTCAGCCGTTTTACATACCTATTATGTACAGTCCAGACATATTTTCGTGAATAGTAGAAAACACAGATATCACATTTACAGACGGTTAGAAATACGGCCAATAAAATTTACGAGAATGATTAACTTTGACACATATTTAGACCGTCAATAATTTGAAGTTCATGTCGGACATTCCCATAATTTCAACCTATGTCAAAGTTTATTAGGTTGATAAATTTTAATTAACTTATTTGCAACTGGCAGTTATAAAAAATATGAAATTCGAAGTAGGTGTGCCGTGTTATTATCCTTCACTACTTGTATTGTTGCTTTAATCTTCTGAGCATTTAAAGAGAGAAAAATGGAGAGCATTGCAGTAATATAACTACAACCTTTTTACTTTTCATTTGATGTTTTTAATTTATTTTGAAAATGAGAGTATTGTTGCAGTGAATAAAAAATAAACCACATTCTAAAAATTTTGCAACGTGCCACTACTTTGCTTTGAACAATAGATTTCCACAGGCGTCCATTTGCAAAATACTTATTTAGCAAAGTCCGAAAAATTTAATATTGAAATTCTTTAAAAAAATCAACAAGAAATTTTATATAAAATCGATGCGTTGATAGATAAAAATAAATGCGTCAAAATATGAATGTTAATAGATTCTTTAATTAGATTAAAATAATTGTCTGGATGATTAGGATAGCCAAAAAATACAATTGGCATCTTAAGTCTGAATATGCTTCCTGAATGTTGAAGTAAAATTTATTATTTACAAGAACCTAATTTGATCGGCGAACGATCTTCTGAAAAATCGAAAGTCAATCCGACAACAGCGCGTCTATATAATGCTCCTAAGACCATCACGCGTGTCGGACAACAAAACAAAAGAACATTTAAATTGGGCTGGGGTCCTTCTGATTCTTCGGTAAGAGTATAAGAGCTTGGTTAACCACAATGGTTTGCCATCTTTAACGGCTATTTTTATTGTTTTATATTGAAACTGTAAACATTTAAATTATTATGTCAGTGATATCAGTAGATACCTATTTTAAGCTCTGCACTAACCCATAAAAATAGGGAACTTATTGCAGTCTTACCAAAATTCGAACAGGGGCGGATGGGAGCTCTTGGACCGGCGCGGGAAGTCAATTAAAACGGCGCTGCGCCGGTCCATCAAAAAAATTAAAAAGCATACATTTTTGTATTTTTTATTAATAAATTACATACAATTTTTAACCGACTTCAGAAAAGGAAGAGGTACTCAATCCGTCGCGATATTTTTTTTTTATGTATGTTCAGCGATACTTCTTCAACACGGTGTCCGATTTCAATAATTCTTTTTTTGTTAGAAAGGGGGTACTTCAGGGGTGGTCCCATATAAATTTCGTCAAAATATAATAATTGGGTCTGTGAGAAAATCCTCCAACTCTTCATTTTTTATGTATGTTTAGCGATAATGCTTTACCACCTTGTCCGATTTATATGATTCTTTTTTGTTAGTAAGGGGATACCCTAGAGGTGGTCCCATATAAATTTGGTTAAGATGTAGTGACGGCATCTGCACGTTTTTGAAGTCGGTTTTTTTTAATTTTTAATTTCTTATACTTGTACAATAACTGATAAAATAGAAGCATTTTTTACAAAAAAAAAGGACCTACAAGTATTTTTATAGGTATATTTATATATAATAATTTCTTTAAAAATCAAATATTGGTTCTTCACAAATCGTCAATGACGTCGTCATTTTCTATTGTATTAATGATGATATGTCGTCGGTTATGAATGAATTGTGATAAGCTGAATGACACATGTATCAATGCCAAAAAAAAGTACTTTAGTTTAAAAAAACTTCTCTCATAGTCGGGCTATATCAGAAATTGAAATTGTCAGCAAAATTTTTTATGCTAATGACAACATTGTATTTATAAATATTGTTAGACTAGGTAATAAAGTGAGGACGCGTAACAAGTACGTCGAGCCCCTATTTTTTTCCATTCAACAACCCGTTCTCCAAGGTATTCCCTTAGAGTCCTCATCATTACAGATGCTTATTCCATTACAGCTTTTAAAATTTGATCTTTTGCTTGTCTAATAACATCATCAACATATCCAATTGTAACTCCGTTAGCCGATTGTTCAGGCTCTCCAAGATTTACTAATCGTTTCACCTGCATATTATAATTACCACTATCTGTTAATTTGAATCCAAGGCCCCTTCTTTCTCGAATTACTATTTTTCTTTTTCTTTTTCTTTTTCTTTTTCTTTTTCTTTTTCTTTTTCTTTTTCTTTTTCTTTTTCTTTTTCTTTTTCTTTTTCTTTTTCTTTTTCTTTTTCTTTTTCTTTTTCTTTTTCTTTTCTTTTTCTTTTTCTTTTTCTTTTTCTTTTTCTTTTTCTTTTTCTTTTTCTTTTTCTTTTTCTTTTTCTTTTTCTTTTTCTTTTTCTTTTTCTTTTTCTTTTTCTTTTTCTTTTTCTTTTTCTTTTTCTTTTTCTTTTTCTTTTTCTTTTTCTTTTTCTTTTTCTTTTTCTTTTTCTTTTTCTTTTTCTTTTTCTTTTTCTTTTTCTTTTTCTTTTTCTTTTTCTTTTTCTTTTTCTTTTTCTTTTTTCTTTTTCTTTTTCTTTTTCTTTTTCTTTTTCTTTTTCTTTTTCTTTTTCTTTTTCTTTTTCTTTTTCTTTTTCTTTTTCTTTTTCTTTTTCTTTTTCTTTTTCTTTTTCTTTTTCTTTTTCTTTTTCTTTTTCTTTTTCTTTTTCTTTTTCTTTTTCTTTTTCTTTTTCTTTTTCTTTTTCTTTTTCTTTTTCTTTTTCTTTTTCTTTTTCTTTTTCTTTTTCTTTTTCTTTTTCTTTTTCTTTTTCTTTTTCTTTTTCTTTTTCTTTTTCTTTTTCTTTTTCTTTTTCTTTTTCTTTTTCTTTTTCTTTTTCTTTTTCTTTTTCTTTTTCTTTTTCTTTTTCTTTTTCTTTTTCTTTTTCTTTTTCTTTTTCTTTTTCTTTTTTCTTTTTCTTTTTCTTTTTCTTTTTCTTTTTCTTTTTCTTTTTCTTTTTCTTTTTCTTTTTCTTTTTCTTTTTCTTTTTCTTTTTCTTTTTCTTTTTCTTTTTCTTTTTCTTTTTCTTTTTCTTTTTCTTTTTCTTTTTCTTTTTCTTTTTCTTTTTCTTTTTCTTTTTCTTTTTCTTTTTCTTTTTCTTTTTCTTTTTCTTTTTCTTTTTCTTTTTCTTTTTCTTTTTCTTTTTCTTTTTCTTTTTCTTTTTCTTTTTCTTTTTCTTTTTCTTTTTCTTTTTCTTTTTCTTTTTCTTTTTCTTTTTCTTTTTCTTTTTCTTTTTCTTTTTCTTTTTCTTTTTCTTTTTCTTTTTCTTTTTCTTTTTCTTTTTCTTTTTCTTTTTCTTTTTCTTTTTCTTTTTCTTTTTCTTTTTCTTTTTCTTTTTCTTTTTCTTTTTCTTTTTCTTTTTCTTTTTCTTTTTCTTTTTCTTTTTCTTTTTCTTTTTCTTTTTCTTTTTTCTTTTTCTTTTTCTTTTTCTTTTTCTTTTTCTTTTTCTTTTTCTTTTTCTTTTTCTTTTTCTTTTTCTTTTTCTTTTTCTTTTTCTTTTTCTTTTTCTTTTTCTTTTTCTTTTTCTTTTTCTTTTTCTTTTTCTTTTTCTTTTTCTTTTTCTTTTTCTTTTTCTTTTTCTTTTTCTTTTTCTTTTTCTTTTTCTTTTTCTTTTTCTTTTTCTTAATTCGTAGGTATTTCTTTGACAATACAATGTACGGATATGTTTCGATTTATTCCATTTCATTCGAAAATATCAAAATTCCGCTTTCTACTCTCACTTTTACCTATCTAGATTCAATCTACAAACTTAATTGGAATAAAATTTGAAAATCTCGTCATCAGGAAATTTTAATGTCATCTAATGTCAAATAAACATTTTTGTTCAACGTCGAAAGGAAGATTTTTTTTACCAGAAATTACTGATAACCCGAAAGCCTTCCATGCCAGTAAAGCACCCATGCAGTTTAAAAAGTAGAATGTTTATACACTGGTGGTCACTGGTAGTATTTGGTATTATATTTTGGTTTCTTCTATGTGCATTCGATTTGCTCGGAGGAAGTCAACATGGTTATGTATACGATAGTAAAGGTAAGATTCAGTTTGTTAGTCGGGAGTTTGAGAGATTTGGGTATTCTTAAGGTATTATCAGAAACAAATAAGATAACTTTATATTACCTGTTAAGGTTCCGGTACGCTTTAAGTACGCCGGAAATTTGAAACAATGTTGGTACTAAGGGTACGGTCGACTTTAGGTCCAGTAAAATTTTAAAGAAATTTATTTTTTATCAGAAACAGCGTATTTTAAATAGTACATTTCAAAAAAAAAATTTGCGGTAAATGCTATATTTAAGCCAAAAAAAATTATTTAATTTCTATAAAAATCAGCATTTTGACGACTGTAAACATGGAAACTCGATGGTTTCTGTCAAATTTAGAAAATATAAATACAACGTTGCCAGATTGTGATAAAATTAGTAGTTAATGGAAAATTGTGATTGCGCATACCGATCCATAAATATGCAACAAGAAAACGAAGCAACGACTTATCGTAGGGTGGCGGCTTTGCCTACCGCTTGCCGAGTCCTACCGCTTTCCGAGTCCCTCACATGTTGCGTTTACGCATTTGAAATAATTGGGGAGTACCTTGTAACGTTGATTTTGTTTCGTACAATTTTATTTTCTAATTGTTGGGTTTATATAAAACCTTGAAATGTTCAGTATTTTCCTTTTTTTTTTCAGTAGGGTTAAAAAATGCCATTCTTTCGATGCCCTTATAAGGATTGTTTTACCGAAACTCAATTCGAGATTCTTCTACTTTCTACAAATTTAGATTTTAAAATTGTTAGTAAATGAATGAATCAAGAACTATACAAATACTGAACATATAATTTGGCTCCTGTACGCTTTAGGTACCTCGAAATTTAGAAAAAAAAATTGATTACACTAATAGTATGAGACCCTAGTGCTAATTTCGACCGTCATCTGATAACGAAATGAAATATGCTCTAAAGGCATGTAACAACATTGTACTTTACCAAATTGCACCTGTGCCATCCCTATCCTGAGCAAAGTAGTTAAAAAAAATTATTTTATATTCAAAAATTCACATAAGACATGACAACGACAATTGTGTTTTCCCTGAAAATTACAATCCTAATTCATTGTGAAACTAGCTTTTAAACCTGAATTATTAATATTTTTACCTACCTTTTAAACCGTGTTTATGTATGAAAGGAAGAAGGATGGCATTGTATAAACCATTTGCAGAGATAGTCAATAATAACTATAAACTCTTGTTAGACAATAATTTTAAACCATAATCATAGTAGTTTTTTTGTCGTTTCTATGGCAACCTGTAAAAATGAATCACAACAATAGGCATACAAATAAATTTTTAAATCAGCAAACATTGATTCACATTTTTAATGATTTTTACCTACTAATCATGGATAGATATTTTTGTGCAATGTTAAGAGGAAGAAAATGTTTCTCTTAAACGATATATATCAAGATATATTTGAATGTTATTTTCTGGAAAACTTTAAGGGCAAACAAAATTAGCGCTTTCATGCCTTATGTGATTTTATTAATATAATATAATTTTTTAAAGCCACTTTGCTCAGGATTGGGTTTGGCACAGGTGTCATTTGGTAAAGTACAATTTTTTTCCATGCTTTTGGGGTATATTTCATTTCGTTATCAGATGACGGTAAAAATTTGCAATGGGCTCTGGGGCTATAAAAAGTACTCATTACATATTGTATACTTCTAAAAAAAAAAGGATACGAAAATTTTATCAAATTTACAATTTTATAGGCTATATCGTAATTTTTTTCACAATTAAAGAATGGGTAATATCAATATTTACGTATTTTATCTTGTAACTAACTGAAATTCATTTATAAAGATTTTCCTTGCCCTAATTAATTAATTAATTTTACGATATAAAAATATTTCAGTCTTGTTAATATTCACATATTTTGTGTAGTATAAGGTGTAAAGTACTGAAACTCTTGGCAAAACTGTAAGAAAATGATAAAATGTTAGGTTAAGAACATCAAAATCTTAACTTTTCTTAGAAAATATTCTGTTATCAGCATTTTTTTAGAAATTTATTCTATAGAATGGGTACTTTTTATTATTTAAATTAATTTTTCAAATTCCGTCGTACCTAAAGCGTACCGGACTCTATTTTTTACTTATAAGTATACCTATATACCTTGTTACAAAAGTGAGAAACGAAGATACTTTTATTTTCTTTTATTATTTATTTATTTATTTATTTCTATATCATTCTAAATCGAAACATAAACTAGCTTGCACACATACATTATAATGCATCAGTGAGTTATCAATGTCTTAATTTATTCTGTATTTATACTAGGTATTCATTTGAATAATTATTAAACTTTGTATTTATACTTGTAACTATTCCTATTTATTAATATTTTCTTGAATATATATTATTATTATATCATCTTTCTGCATTTTTAACATAACCTTTTTTCAACTGCTACGACAATAATAAGAAATATGTCCACTTTTCAATCAAATCAAAGATCGGTACGCGCATACGCAGCCAGTGAGGACTCGGCAAGCGGTAGGACTCGGGAGGATGATTAAGAAAAAAATATCTTCCGTCTGGCCAACGTTTCAAAATTCACGTGAATTTCAAAACGTCGCGCGTCGGCTGAGCACACTCCTTTGCTCGCTCTCTTCTATAGTGGTTAGGAGATGGGTGGCACGAGTATACCGTGCTCTTATGGTGTAGGTGGAAAAAGGACACAGTTGAATTTTAAAACTACCCAAAAGCGCTCGCTTCTAAGGTAGTTAGGATATGGGAGAAGAGCGTGCTTTTAGAGTGACAGGTCTATCAGGGTACTTTAAAATTTTTTTGAATTGCAAAATGCTTACAAGAAGCATTTATGATAAAAAAATTATAAAATAAATTATCAGTATGTCACTTAAAAATATACCAGACATAAAATTCTTCAGAAATAACGCAAGGATGTATTCGAACTAATAAAATTTTAACTTGATTAATTTCATAAAATTTTTATTCAACTCTTTTGTAAATCAGGAATTTAAATATTAGTAAGTTAGATTACCTTAATTATCTCTCTGGGTCAAACAATATTCTAAAAATTTGAAATACTTTTTATTTAAAAAATAGAAGGTAAACGTTTGTTTAAAATGGGTCGCAGCTGAAAGTACCCACTGAGTGACGTCACGGCTAACCCTTCAAAAATTGAAATATTTCGGCTATCCTCTTTATTTAATAATAGTCGTTGGTTTAGGCTGGCTGGCATCATTTTTCAAACAAATAAATTCGTTTGTTTCAAAAAAGGTGGATAACACAAAGTAGTAATTATGTTTAAAAGTTTTTGAAAAGTGCATTATTACTTTCTAGTATTTAATTACTATGTATTACAATTTAATTATATTGGTTAAATAAATCGTCGAAGGTGACTGGAAATTAGAAGTTAAAAAAGTTTTTTTAGGAAGAACAATGAAATAAATTAATAGAAGTAGTGCTTTTTAAAGGTACTTTTTTATATTTCTTATTCATTGATTTTAATTGAACACTTGGCGACACCGCGCAAAAAATGTTAATGTATGGATTTTCCGGTGGTATAATTGAAAAGTACTTCATAAAGCCTAAAATTAAAGTTTTATAAACAATTGGATTTTTAAGAAAAGGGCGTGTTCTCAATATTTACCCAAATTTTTTTGAACACCAACATTACAGAAAATAAAATTTCCATATGGCAACGTTGCAAATTACAAACTAGAAGACTATGTGTCCACTTCAACTATAATGGCGTCAACAAAAGATGGAAGAAAAGTATAAATCAAATAAAGGCTGGATTAAGGGCCAGCATTTTCACCTCTGAGTAAATTTGAAAGTGACTACTTGCTTATTAAACTATAGAGCTATTGTTCGTTAATCTGTAAAGTAACACCTACATGCAACTAGTCAGAGGTGAGAAGATCAGCCCGAAACAAAATAAATTTCGTTGGCTTACTGCAAAGATGACCATATCATTTTAAGTGATTTTATTTAATATGACCAAATTACTACTTGTTAAAGTCGGCCCTACCAAAAAAATTACCAAGTCATATTGATTAGGTTTATTTAGTACTTTCAAGCAGTATAAATATGACTTGGTAATTTTTTATTTTGGTAGATCTGATTTTAACAAGTTATTTGTTATATTAACTCAAATCACATAAAATTTGACTTGGTCACTTTTCACAGTAAGCCCCCTTTTTTTTATTTTTTTTTTTTTGTTTTTGGCATAGGCACATTGCCATTCAGCCAGACACAGATTCGTCCATAATTAGAACTACCCAAGAATATTTCCTAACAGCAAGAGGTGTAAGAAGAAGAAAAACAATAAACAATATAGGACGGGGACGCAGTAAGCCCACTATTTAACAAATGACATAAGTATTGCAACTATGATTCAATTTTTCTCAGAAATTAGTACATTATCCGCAATTATTTTTTAATTTACTTATAATATGGGTATTTTTTTTTCAAATTCCGATGAATTTACTTAAAACGTTAGTTCTCTGGAGTATACATGAGAAGAAAATAATAAATAATCCACAGAGAGCAAAAGAGACTCGACTCCCGGAATCCAGTAAAAATTCCACAAATTACAATCACAAAAAAGTGAGGCAACGCTGTAGAAAACTTGACACCGCAAATGTTCTTACTCTTCAACCCACTACCCCACCTCACTTCTCATAAGTGCCAAATAAAGGGTTAATAACTTCGGCATACCTCCAAAATACCACTAACGTATTCTGCACAACACGCGGCTAATAACTTTAGTAGTTGTGCTTATTACACCGATTTAAAAAGCCATTTTCATTTATTTCTTGTTTCATTAGATCACGTGGGATATGAATATTGTTGAAGATTCTGTATATTGAATACTTACTTCTTAATTTTAGATTATGACCTGCTTTACGAAACTTTCTATATGGAAAAAATAAAAAAAGATGAAACTAGTATGCAGTTTATCCAAAAACTGCAAAATTTTGGTTTTTCCCTATTGGTATGGAATTCAGTGACGTTTTTATGTTCCGTACTATTTTGTTATGTAGTGAGAATGTTTTGGTGGGTATTTGCAAAGTCGTTTTATTCAAATAGGTAAGCATTTTACTATTTTTTTTTTTAATAATATTTCATAGTATGAACTAAGTATTGTATATACTATCACCTATTAAACATCTTTCAATACGGTTTGCTAGCATCGAAGTGAAAACTACAGAGAGTTAGTATTAGCGCGAGTAGAAAATGAATAATATCAACGTTGTCTTGTGCGCTGTGTAATGTGAGCAGGTATACGGCGAGATATATACCCCACGCAGCCGACTGGCCACGTTGATAATATTCGTTTTCTGCTCGTGTAAATAACAAATCCATGTAGTTTTCACGCAAAATGTATTGGAAAACGTTTGATTGTCGACACGTATGTTATATTCTTGGCATTGGCTTTGTCTGGAACTCCTACTACTACTTTTTGAACTCCCCTCATTTTCGAGGTGTTTAAATGTGCACTGTCGTTCTTTTTTGCACCTGCCTAGTCTCTAACTGGAAATTCCTTTATACATATTCCCATCTTGCTTATTTTCCTATCTTTTTTACCCCATGTATCTTTAATTTTATCAGATTTAACACTTGAACATAAGTTTGTTTACTTTATTTTAAACATAATATTTTTCCAGTTCCAGCAACTTTTTAAACTGTTCCTTATTCTTCTATCAATTTTTACTAATCTACAAGAACAAAACAAAAGCAACCGCTATTAATTATTAGAAAGTATTATTTTACAGACTGACAAAATACATCAAACAGAAGAATTAATAAATTATATCACGAAACCGAAGTGTTAACCAACTGACAACTATGAATGATCACACTTTGGCAAATAATACTGTGCGAGTCAGATTAGTAATTTAAAATAAAGAATATGTGTGTCAATCAAAGACTGCCTTTTAAGTGTATGTAATGAGGTTTAAATCCCAGCTGACGCTGGGGACTTGTTGGGATTTTTATTTCGTCTTTTATTTCACAAATAATAAATATTTTTTGTTTTAATGTATTGAACATTTAATTCATTTTTATCTTAGTAAAGTTAGTAGAACTCAAAAATATAATTCCAAGGTTCATAGTTTCGGCGTGGTCGTCCCTAGCTCACTCTCTTTCTCTCTTGCTCTCTTACAAGCGTAACTAATGTACTGAAATCTTATTATAACACTTGAAATACACAAAAATATTTCTAAAGTAGGCCATGGTCGACAAACGCCTACGCTTCGACATGCGTGACTTTTTCCAAGACCTACTTTATACACATTTGTGATGGATCATTCCATATAACAATATGCACTTCATTTTTTTTTCTTTTTCAGAAAAACGCAAATTGTTTCTACATCACCATTTTTTTCCAATAGCGCCCCCGTCCTTTGCCAGAGTAACAGTAAGATCCCTATAAAAGTCAAACCTTATGCTATTTCATTTAAAGGATCTAGTTCCCAAACAAAATTATCGAATTTAAACGTTAATCGCGAACTCGCAAGTACTCCCAATGTTATAGGTGCAAGAACTGTTACTGATTTTTCAGAAGATTCAATAACAAGACCTTCCAAATGTTTCAGTTTTATTAAGAGTGGAAAGGTATGTTATTGGCTTTAATACCTTGCTTTAAAACTAAAATAATTTAGATGCTTTATCCGTATTCATCGAGATATTTTGTAATGAAGGAAATATACCTACTCTACTCAGCTAGCAACCACACGTCATTATGACCTGCCTTTTTTTTGCACCTGTTACGTCTTGTAATAATATGACGTGTTATTCATGTGAATTATGACGTCAGTATTTTACAGACCAGAGCCGTCATTTGAAGACGTTAGGCCACCTCGTCTAAATGGCGAGATAGTATATCGTCAAAATGACGAGATAATAGTATATCGTCGAAACGGCGTGATGAGACCTCATCAAAATGATTTTTTTTTGAAAAGGTATTCTAAAAATAATAGTCAATACCATTTTTTAAATAATTAATATTATATTTAATAAAAGTTATAAAAAACCATAACCATAAAACTGTAAGAGAAACAAATATACAATGTATGTAATAAAGGAAAATATTTACATATCTGATAACGAAATATATATTATTCAATTCTCTAAATTAAAAATAAAACTTAATTGATTTTTAACCGACTTCAAGGAGGAGGAGGTTCTCAATTCGTCATATTTATTTTTATATATCTTCAGCGATAATTCTTTAACACGATGTCCGATTTCAATGATTTTTTTTGTTAGTAAGGGGGTACCTCAGGGATGGTCTATTAAAAATTTGGTTAAAATCTAATAATTAGGCCCATGAGAAAATCCTTAAACTCTTTATTTTTTATGTATGTTTATCGGTAATTTTTTACCACCTTGTCCGATTTCTATGGTTCTTTTTTTGTTAGTAAGGAGAGGGTACCTCAGGGATGGTCCCCCAAATAAATTTGGTTAAGATATGGTGATGGCATCTGCACGATTTTAAAGTCGGTTTTTTAAAATTACTTTTAATACTTGTCCTCTTCCGTGTCCTATCAACTATTTGTGATACCTACGTATTTAAGCCACACTTTGATGACGGCGTTCATATCTTCATGGTAGTCTCAGGTTTTTTTAAATTAAAATATTAAAGAACCACTTTTTGAAAACCCGTCATCACTTCCAATATGAGTTATAATTAGACGTCGTCCTTTACCGGAAGGAACCTCTAATCCTGTAGATAATCCTTCCAAAAAAGCCTGTCGTAAAGATTGAATGTTTGTGTTCTGCCACATTTTGCTAACTGTTTAACCTTCATTCACCCAGGTTTCATCCAAATGAAATATTTTTTTACCTTCTGCACGTAATTTAAAAATGATTTTGAGATATCGCCGTCTCCAACAAACAATTTCCTCAGAACCAATAAGTGCTGCTTTCCTGTCAGGTTTATCCCACTTGAACTTAAAATCTATTAGAGTTTCCCGTAGTTTTGTCTTTTTCATTTTGGAAAAATACGAATTACTATTGATTGCGTCCAAAACCTTGGCAAGTGTTGGTATCTGTTTTTTAAAATAAAATTTGTGAACTTTTCTTCTTATTCCGCGTTTAATTTGTTCAGTAAATTCCTATTTTTTCTTACCTCCTTCATTTTTCTTTGGGGGTTTAACAACTTCACTTTTTAATGCACTTATAACTTTATATATTGTTCATTTATAATAATAATAATAATAATATTTATTAATCTAAAAGTTTACATCAACATACAATAGTTATTGATACATATAATAATTAATAAATTTATGAAACCCACAGAAGGTCAAGCCTGTGTATGGGTACAAACAAATTTTATTAAAATGACATATAAAAAAATGTAATACTATAATATATAATACTTATAACTATAATATTTATAAAGTGCATAATATCAGACACAAACTATGGTGAATTTCCAACAAGAGTATTAATTAAAATGAATTAAAATAAAGAATATCTACCAAAATAAGGCAATTGCATAAATAAAGAAATGTTAACTACTAATATGTTTTAAGTTCCTATGTAAGTGTGAATTTGATGTCTTGGAATGGTTTTAATCCAGGCTTTCAATTTTTTTTAAATAGTGTAAGGGGTTTTCTCGCCACAGAGAAAACGGTTCCTTACGAATGACGCTGGTTACGGGCGGTTCTCGAGCGCCAGATTTTTGATAATGGTTTACTCCACAAACTTTCGAAACGGCGTCGAAAGTACTCAGGTAGCTACAGATGGAGATGAAAAATTCCAGGGGTCAAAGGTCACTTAGACACAGGTAATAGTAGGCCACAAGTAACGGGCTTTAATCGTTGCTTGGACTCGTACAGAAATTTATCACTAGCTGAAATATAAGGGGGAAATAAACTAGGGAATTATTAACCAGTAATACGGCAGGTTAACATTGACACATATATTGTAGTTAACTATTTACAACAAAAAAAAAATAAATAAATATTTCAACGCCCACCCCAGTTGTGGTGATAGTCAATATAACCCTGAATATAAAAAAAAACAAAACGGACGGTATTAATTCGCGACTAGTCTCAATCAGACGTCAAAATTAAATCAAAGTAAAATATATGTCTCGATCGCAGGAAAAAAAAATATTAATTTGGTTATTTACTCGGTAAATAACTGTTTAATCGCGGTATCGGGAATTTAAACTCAAATGTAGTTATTTTGCACTTTACGTGAGGAAAAATTAAATAAACGGTCGAAGAGAGTGCGAGGAGACAGGGACGCGAAAGAATTACTTATAGTAAATACACGGAAAGAAAATGAAAATAAATTTATACCCGGGGTAGCCTATTATCCCAGAATGAGCTGATCGTCATCACGAGCCCGCTCCAGACAGGGTAATGAAGCTATTTTTAAATTCTGCAAATTGCAGTTTGCACGAAAAAAAATGAAGAACTTAAAGGGAAAAAAGAAATCGAACGCGGATAGCCCCTAGTCCAAGAATGAACTGATCGTCATCACGAGCCCGTTCAGACAAGGACAGGACACTATTTAAAATTATTTAAATTGTCGGAAAAAAAAAGAAAAGTAAATTATTATCGGAGGGAAGAAAATTTACTAACGCGGATAGTACCTACTCCAAGAGTGAACTGATCGTCATCACGAGCCCGTTCAAACAGGACAGGATACTATTTGAAATTATTTAAATTGACGGAAAAATAGAAAAACAAATTATTATCGGAAGAAAGATAAATTTACTAACGCGGATAGTACCTACTCCAAGAGTGAACTGATCATCATCACGAGCCCGTTCAAACAGGACAGGATACTATTTGAAATTATTTAAATTGACGGAAAAATAGAAAAACAAATTATTATCGGAGGGAAGAAAATTTACTAACGCGGATAGTACCTACTCCAAGAGTGAACTGATCGTCATCACGAGCCCGTTCAAACAGGACAGGATACTATTTAAAATTATTTAAAAATTGCGGTTTACAGATTAACTCAAAAAAAAATATAACGCGGATAGCACCTACTCCAAGGGTGAACTGATCGTCATCACGAGCCCGTTCAGACCAGGACAGGATGCTATTTAAGATTATTCAAATATACGGTAAAAGAAATAAACAAATTATTAAAAGAGGGAAAACGTCTCCTCGAAAACTCCGTTTATAAATATTCTCAACTTAATTACAACGCGGTACCTACTAAACAAAAGTATTTATGAATAAAGTCAAATTTAAATCCCGATTTAACCTATCAAAAGAAAATGAATAATTTCTTAAAACCGACTAACAATCAAAAGTCTAAAATCCCGGTTTTACAACATTACAGAATTAAATCCTATCATTTAATATTTAATTCAAATTAAAGAAACGGTATATTTGCCAAGTAAATTCAAATGTTTTTAACTAAACCCTATTTATAAAAACAAAAGAAACGGTATCATTTGCTAAGAAACAAATTCTATTATTTATTATTTAAATCAAATTAATTATTTTAACTAAACCCCATTTATAAAATAAAAATAAAGACGCGGTATTATTTGCCAAGAAACAAATCCTATTAATTATTATTTAAATCAAATTAATTCTTTTAACTAAACCCAATCTATAAAATAAAAATAAAGACGCGGTATTATTTGCCAAGAAACAAATCCTATTAATTATTATTTAAATCAAATTAATTCTTTTAACTAAACCCAATCTATAAAATAAAAATAAAGACGCGGTATTATTTGCCAAGAAACAAATACTATTATTTAAATCAAATTAATTCTTTTAATTAAACACTATCTATAAAAATATTCCTATTCCTACAAACTAATTTGCTATTTAAAATGAAATACGGTCTCATCTTTCAAACAAAAAAAACGGAACAAGGTTTTTTACCTAACGGATTTGTAAATACTAGAAAACGGAAAAAAAATATTGGCGATGATTTGATATCTAAAGCGGTGTATCAGAGTCAACTCCTCGGAATCAAAATTTATATCGAACTAATAATTTTAATAGCATCTCCGCTATCGTTCAAACAAATGTCCCTCTCCCAATCGAAAATCCCACTTACGTTCAAAGCTATCGCGCATCGAGAATTTGAGTGGCGTTCGCGCATCTGAAAATTAGCAGTTCAACCGCAATTAATATTTATTAATAATGAAAAATGAAAATAAATTGATTGAGAAAAATTGACTTCATTACAATAGGTTTTTAGAATTTATATTTTTGAGTTCGTTTGGGATTAAATTATAGAATTTTGGGCTAAGAATATATTTTTATGAGGTAAAGGTATATAATTTGACTGATTTTTGTATCTTGTGTTATAAATATGATCAACTCCTTTTTTTTAATATGTTGTCTAACGTTTTTGAGAAAAATATTTGCCTGACATCATACATATTTACTTGTTCATATAGGAGTTTAGTAGGAAATAATCGAGGTTTTTCGAACAAGATTTTGATAATATATCTCTGTGTCGTCTCTAGAATGGTTAAATGTGATTTCTGTGCAGCTCCCCAAGCAACAATAGAATATGACAAGTGGCTTTCTACTAGGGCATGATAGAGAATTCGCATGTACTTTTTGTCATATAGCATGTTTATATGTTTTAACTTATATGCCACAAATCGAAGTTTTTTCGCTAAAAAATTTATGTGGGTATCCCATTTAAAATGATAGTCTAAGATCCGAAGTAAGGTCGACCTTCACTCATCTGTTTAATGGATGAAAGTTTCTTTTTATTAAATAAAATATGTTTAAAAATATACTGCAAAAGGGTTGCCTAAGAAAATACGGTCCAGACTATTTATTTTCTGAAAATAATAAAAACGACACCCTGTAAAGTCTTTCCCAGATGCTTCGACTATGCCCAAACTTTAATCAGCTCACCGCAGGCTAGATTAAAGCTTAAATTGAAAATTTGATGTTTTTCTCCTTATCCGTTTTTGAGTTGTCTTTAAAATTCTAAATTTTCATTTTTCCTCAAATATCTCGAATTAGGTCCATTTTAGGAAAATCATGTATAGGGACAAAATAATATAGAATGACATCGTTAGTAACTTTTATCATGATTTCTATACTTTTCTTATCTGTATACAGAAAGAAAAGCAAAAAATGGCCGTGACCGTATTTTCTTAGGCAACCCATTTGCGGTATATTTAAAAACATTTTATCAAATAAAAAAAAACTTTTATCCATTAAACAGATGGGTGAAGGTCGACTCTACTTACGGATCCTGTGCTATGAGCATCAATATAAATGCCGAAGTATTTTATATTTAGTGTCCGAGTTATAGAGACTGTAGAGTTATTCTCATAGGTATGTTTAATGAAATATAATCAGGTAAGTAGCACGCATATGAGGTAAAAGGGACAAAGAAGGTCTTGCTAATGTTTATAATCAGCAATCGATTGTCTAACCACTTTATTATTTTCGAAAAATCTTCTTCAACAATTACTTTTAATTCATTCCAGCTATTTGATGAGTAAACAATAGCTGTATCATTCGCAAAGCTAATTATATCCCCTTTACTTCCAATTTCAAAAATATCGTTTAGATATATATTAAATAAAATCGGTCCTAGTACCGTACCTAGGGGAACCCTGTATTTAACAGCTCTAAAATCACTTAAAGAATTTACTATTCGGACACATTGTCTTCTATTTGTTAAATAACTTTTCAGAAGTAAGTACGGAGTTCCTCTAAATCCAATTTTTTTCAGTGCTTCTAGAATCTGAGAGTGACTAACCGTATCAAAGGCTTTAGCTAGGTCTACAAAGAGGCATAGCGTTGGGATTTTGTTATCTACATTTCTATTAATTTTATTTAGAAGTTCCAAAATAGTATCTTGCGTGTTTTTCCCATCCGTGAATCCATATTGATTAGATTATTTTGTAATTATTTAAATAGCTAATAATCCTACGTTTTAGAGCTTTTTCAAAAATTTTAGTAAATGTTGATAAGAGTGATATTGGTCGGTAATTAGTCACATTCAGCTTTTCAGCACTTTTGTAAACCGGTATTACTACCGCAGTTTTAAGAGCTGTTGGACATTCTCCGGTATTGAATATTTTATTTATGAGAAAAGTTAAGGGCGCAGCAATATTTTTAGCAATAAGTTTAATGTGTTCAGCTCTGATACCATCAATACCGGGGGATTTATTCTCTTTTAGTGTATTTATAATTTTCATAACTTGTTTCCTGTATGTCTTCCAGAAAAAATGAATTTGTTATACTTTTTGTTTTGAATTTATAATTTATGTTTCTATTCTGGTTTGTGATCTTTGTGGCCATTTTTTCACCAATGCTAGAAAAGAAATCAATAAAAGTGTCTGCTATTTCCTTTTCCTTATTCGCAATATTTCCGTTTGGAGTTCTTATTTCTTTTATTTTATTTAAATATTTGTTTTTATTTGTAAGTTCATTGACAGATTTCCAAAGAGCGGCTGAGTTATTTTCATTCAATAATAACTCATTGTTGTAGTAATCTCTTTTCGCTGAAATTACTAGTTTACTGAAAATATTTTTGAATATAATATAATTTTTTTTGTTTTCCTCATTTGGATTTTGCTTAAATATTAGGTATAATTATTGTCGCTTTTGTTTGGCCGATGTAAATAACGCATTCGTTATCCATGGATTTCGTTTAACATCTAAATTTTTTAGTTTTATTTTATTAGTCGAGCAATTTAAAACATCTTGAATTATTCTTAAAAATATATCTGTTGCGTTTTCAATATTGGTTGCTGCATATACATTAATCCAGTTTACGTTAGAAATATTAATTTTTAGTTTATTATTGTCAATATAAAGTTTATATCGTGTTTTTTCTATAATTTTTCTTTGTTTTTAGCAGAAATAATTTGAAGTATGGTAGAAAAGTGGTCAGTTGTGTCTGATTCAAAGACAATTGGATTGTACTTAAATGATTCTGAGTTATCTTTAATGAAGCATTGATCTATACATGATTTACAGTCTCCTTGTACTCGAGTATATTTATTAATATATGACATGTACCCATTTGTATAAAATAAATTTAAATAAGTGTTAGATATTACCGTATCTTTTTTTATATCAATATTTTTGTCTCCTATAAAGATGTGTATTATATTTTGTATATTGTTTATTTAGCTAAGATAATCTTCTAAAATTTCCAGAAATTCATTTGCTGATGTTGCTGGAGGTCTGTAAATTGGTGATATTTTAATTTTTTTATCGTGAAATAAAAAAGTAATATTAAAAAATTTCATGAAACCAATTTGAATTTCCTCAAAATCACAGTTTAAGCTATCTTTTATATATAACAAAACTCCATCATTCTGGTTAATATAATTTTATTGTAAAAAATATTATACCCTTATGAATAAAATATTGAAAGATCTGGCAGTTGCCTAGTTTCAGTTAAAATAATGACATCGAATTCATTCTTAAATTGATGCAGTAGTATTTTCAAATTGTCGAAGTTCTTACTTATACTTCGAATATTCATATTGAATATCTTTATATATTCATTTTCACTATTACTAAGCCAGTCGTTAATTTCTTGTACATCGCCAGTAATTTTAGTTTCCATAGTTTGTATCTCAAAATTTTGTATATAATTATGCATTTTATTGCTATAATGAACTACAAACAGGTGAAGTCCACAAAAAAAAATTACGTAATACAATTATAATAAGGAATAAGTACAGCTAAAAATAGAATTAAAAGCGAAGGATTATCGAATAATTTTTAATTTTGTTTTCCTTGAGAGGACACTGAGGATAAATGAAGGCTTCTGATCTTCTCTAAGTTCTTTGAGGGTAAACTAACAGTGGTAGTAGATTTTTGAAAGTGATTTTGTATTGTTTGTTTTTGGTTTTTTGTTACTGACTTTTTTCTCTACTACTGTATGTTGTGGTTTTACTTTTATTTCAGTTTCTTTGGTTTTTTTCTTCAGGTATTGGAGTTCCAGGATTACTAGCAGCTTTTGATACTTCGAGATTTTCCAATTCTAAAAGATCTTGTGCACTAAACTCTCTATCATCTAGAATTAGCTTATTCCATTTAATATAACATTTACTGTTTATTTTCCTTCTTTTTTTCTTTAAGAAAATGTCTTAGAATCTTCTGTTCTTCGCGTTGATTATTTGCCAAATCGTTCGAAATGGAAATGTTTGTATTTTTTAGCGTAAAACCGTTTTTTAGAATTTCTTTCTGTTTTAAAAATGTTGTTAATAATTTTAACAGGTGGGTTATTGAATTTTCCCAGGGAGTAAACGTTATTTAGTTCATTTATTGTTATATCTATCCCTAGAAGTGATTTTAAATCTTCACAAATCGATATTGACTATGAGGCCATGACGTATAACAAACGGCAGGCAATTAAATGCCTGTATTGTGTCAATTGTAGTTATTTAACATCTTCGTGTAGATCTCTTATGATTTTGTTGCGTCACGAAAATGTATAGTGGACGTACCGTTTTTTGCATTTCTTTCAACTTAATGCGATAAAAAGAGAGAGATGCCGTATGACGTGCAACTGAAAGGCTATGAAATGAACTATAATAGTCAAATTTATAGGTCTTGAAAAATATTTATTATATAGGTACATTGTTGTTCATTTACTCAAGCAGTTGACTCTACCGTTTATACAATAATTGCAAAAAACAAAACATTTTGTAAAGTACCTACATACCGAAATATTACTCAATGATACATATTCAAAAAAATATATGCTTCTTGAAGTTAGCTGAAGCTACAACCTTGTGTTATTTGGCGATTGCGAATCCTTCCGTCTCCGAGTGCAATTCGCCTTGTTTTATTATTAATGGAGTTTTTTGTGTTGTCTTTTTAGGTAGTATTTTTTATAAATAAATGTTTACTTATTTAAACAAATATTTTCCTATCCAGTGAATGTATGTTTTATTTTCAACAGATATTAACTCTGCCTATGAAAGAGGAATATAGAAACATAGATAATTACGTCGATACAAACGAATTAAATAAACTTAGAGAGGAAATTATCATGATTCAGAATAATTCGTTGAACGAACAGTCCGAAATGTCAAGAAAAATTAATGTGCTCAATAGGGAAAAGAAGGATTTAATTAAACAACTGACCACAGCTCAAAGGGAAAATAAAGCTGCCAAGCAACAGATTGAAGAACTTGCTCAGGATAAGGTAAATAATCTATCAATTTTTATATTTATTTCAATCAGAGCCATAGCTAGAGGGAGGCATATAGGGTCAATGTCCTACCTTAAAATAGCAATGCCCTACCTTAAAAATAACCAATGGTTGTTGCACATCACACACTCTTTATAGTTTTTATCTGTGAACATCAGTCCTCAGCGTGCTTTCTTGTCCTTTCTTGTTTCTTGCTTTGTAATCTTTTATTTATTGTGAATTGTGTGACTGATAACTAGGTATTACGTAAATTAAGTTATTTAACAAGAGAAGAAAATGTCCTTTAAATAAAATTGTACGATTACCATTAACATTTTGAGAATAACGTTAGATTAAGATTGTGCGATTAAAGTTGTGATAACATTGTGACAACATATAGATTAGATAACATTGTAAGATTTAAAGGACATTTCCTTTGCTGTTTCTGTTAAATTTACCTTCATCACATACGAGGATGGGATAAATAATTTGCAACCTGCCCCTATAGTGTGGTATAATTTTGATCGCGAAGGGCGAATCTGTCACAAAGAAGGTAAAAATAGGTCTATCGACTGGTATTTTGGGATGCACAAGGCACTATTTTTATTGACGCTTTTGAAAAGGGCAAACCAATAAATTGACAATAATATTCCAAAATGTTTCTTGATTAGCTGCAACAGAAAGTTCTGAAGAAATGACTTTTATTATCGAAAAAAACAAGTTTTGTTCCATCAGGACAATGCAACATGTCAGAAGTTCATTATTTAAATGGTTATAATTGATGAACTGGGTCTATTATTGTGATGGCTATAATTGATGAACTGGGCGTTACTGCTCCATGCACTCTACTCGCCAGATTTACCTAGTCCCTTCGAAAATTAGTTTATTTCCAAACATAACAAAATTTCACGCGGGCAAGAAATATATGTCCGATTTGGAAGTCATTACTAGCACAAACATCCATCTTAAAGAGCTGGATAAATTGGCCTATAATAGTGTTACAAACGGTCTTGAATTTGTTTTGCAAAGGTTATTGAGCGAAAAAATAAAAGTATTTTTTATCCCTATTTTTTACAATAGGTATACTGAAAATCATTCATCCCAGTCTCGTATGGCATCCGTTAATAAATTAACAAAATATGAGTATGGATATAAGAGGCGCGAAAAAAAGACGCGACTTGATAAAAAAAATTTCACAATATGGCAATTTGAAGGCTTGAACTATATTAATTATTTTTAATATGTTTTATTCCTCTATTTTGAATTTTTATAGAGGTATCTGAAAACCTGTGTCCGTTCATTTATTGAAAAAATGTTATACACGAGTACTGTTGGGAATTGAGTATTACTGATTCAAGTTACTGGTACTCCGTATTGTTGATGTACTTTATTTTCGTTTTATGTTACCTTGGTTTAAAAAAGAGTTATGACTTATATAATAGAATTGACATTAATAATTTTGTGAATTGTCTATATATTTTTATATTAAATAAATAAGTTCTCCTCAAGTCTGTCCCCTCATTTTTTGACGTTCTCTGTCCACCTGGTAGGTGTACAAGCGCAACAAGTACAATGCGACATGTAGCTTATTTTGCAAATAACTTTTTGGAAAAATTATTTTCAACTTGCTCTTTACCTATATGTCTGACTACCTCATACCGTCGACCCACCTATAATGTTATGTCCACAGGGAGGTGTGCTATCACCCCTTCTGTGGAACATGGTCTTTGACAGCCTCATCAGCCGCCTTAATAATGAAGTCATTCTTTTTTTTTCTTAGTCTCACTCCCCTTGATATTTACATCAAGGAGGTTGAACTGACGATAATGACATGCCTCCTCACGGTTGAAATAGAGCCTAGTGTAGGATCTGGTAAGGCGAGACGTCGCTTTTGGCAGGAGGCGCTCTATACGCTCCCACTACTTCAAGCGAACATGGACTTCATCTCACCGAGATATATCTTTCATAAGCCATATATAACGGAACAAATAGAAGAGCTGAAAGTGGCATGGTTCTAATACAAAACAAGGCTCAGGATGTGGAATACACTCCAGATTCTTACACCTAAATATAAAATGGGCTGTGAGCAATAGTGCCAGTGTAGTTCAAACAGAGCTAACGGGGATTCTTATACCAGCAAAAGAAATCACCAGAAACAATATCACTGGAAGGAAGATTCTCATCTATACAGATAGCAGACAAGCACTACTCACCCTGAACAGACCAGGAATTTACTCAGGGTTAGTACTAGAATGTCACGAAGCTTTGGCCGAAGTATCCATTAACAATGTGGTTACCTTAAGATGGATCAAAGGTCACGCTACATCGAAAGGTAACCGTCTTGCTGATTCACTAGCCAAGAAAGCAGCCAACCAAATACTTTTTGGACCTGGCCCTTCTATTGCCCTGACAAAATCGGTAGTGACAGATCTAATTAAAGAACAATGCATTGTGAAATTCAAGGAAAGATAGGATGAAACAAGAAACTGCAGAGTTGCCAGGGAGCTTTTACATTATCCTGACAACACTGCAGCAAACAAATATTTGACTATGATTAGACAGAATCTGCGCCTCATTTTGACTGGTCATTTTCAAGTACGGAAGCATCTTCATATCATGGGGCTGTCAGAATACGCACTCCACAGAGGGTGCAAACAAGAAGATGAGCATATCCTTTAACGATTGCTCTACGCTCTCATTTATTAGAAGATTTGTGTTCGGCGAGTATCGGCTAACACCGGCCGATATAAAAGAAGCACCTCTTGGCTACGTTGTCAACTACATCTGTAGGCTGACTCACGAGCTAGGAGGTGTCTATCATCTTAGGAGGATGTTGTGTCCTATTTCAAATTGGTTCTGATTACGGCCCTGATTATGAAAGAATTCGATATTTTTGAAAAACTCATTTCATACTTCATTAAGCTCAATATTTCCAGGACACTCATAATGTTTTAAAATAATATTTTTCAGATGATTTTTATAAAAAAATTGGAAACTGTGAACAAGGAAATCAAAAATAATACGAAATCAAAAAAACTTAACTTAGCAAAAATGGAAGAACTATCCAACAATGCTGACAACCTGAAACTTCAGCTAGAACAAATGACTAGAGATAAAGATATTTTGGAAAACAAATTAAAATTGCTAAAAGAAGAGCATGAAAGACTTCAAGAGAGAATAATTATAAATGATGATCATATTTGCCCAGAATTTCAGGAAAATATGCCTGAAAGAGATACGGATACCGTCATAACGGGGAATACATTGATTGAAAAAGCTAAATCTATTTATGTCATTAAGGTAAATATGGATATACTACACATATTATACCTTCTACTTTACATACCTCTTCATTTTTCTTCTTTGACTGTTCTGATTCTAATTCATTTTTAGAATTTGGATGAATCGCAAACCATTTCTGGAAATAACTTTGATAGGGAGAAAATTCAAGTGAAAATTCAACAATTGGAAAGAAATCTTAAAAATTTTAATTCGAACAAGAATACTTTAAATTTTCATACTACAGATGAACAAACTGACGTACGTATACACACCTGCAAAGTTACAAATGCAAATTATCCTGCTTTTCAAAAAAAAAATATTTACCTACATACAATTTTAAAGAAATAGCTCCCCTATATTAATTATACATGTCCGCTATTTGCTCATTAAGATAAAGGATACAATACCTCATCTAAAATAACTCTTTGTAAATTCTGTTGAATATATATTTTAGTTCTTCACATCGTTCTCATAGTTATACTACTACGCCAACTCAATCACATGGCTAATTTGGTTACTAAAATTTTTTTATGAAGTAATATTAAATTTAGTCATGAGTTTTTCTTATTTTATTCTGAATTAAAACATTAATTTTGGATGCTCTCTGTATACTATATTTTTTATAGACGGTGTTTAATATGTTCTGAATAATTATTTATTGAATTATTAATTAGTCCAAGCGTTGGGTGGTTTCTATTCGCAAAAGGTAGAAAGAAATGAAATTTCGTGGGATGGTAGACATGGGACCCCTGATACTACACTTAAGTTTGCGACCTAGGGGGATTGCCGCTCGAGGGGGGGAGGGATGAAAACTCTGCGTCGCGACGCTTTTCTGGAAATAGCACCGTTGTGGTAAGTACTATCAAAAAAAAAATTCAAATGAAATATGTACAGGGCAAAATCCTGCACAATTTTGACCTCTTTATTTTTTTGTCTGCGAACAATAGTTCCCGCTGTACGACGCGCCAAAGTAGGAGGTTGATTTGCAATGTTCAAGAAAATGAGAATTTCAGCGTGGATTAAAACGAAGATCGCTATGAGACAATTTTGTAATATTTTTTTTTAAAGGGTAATGATTTCTGAGTCTGCAGATGCCCCCTTTATTACATTTGGTCGTATATAATAAATGATGTTTCGAAGCGCGCCCCTACATATTCCGATATAAACATCGTAATTATCAGTATCTACGGCATAGATTACTAATGTGAATAGATGGGAAACTCATTGGTAATATTCTGAGTCGACGTGCTGCCATCTATCAAATTGGAGTGGTACTAAAATTCAATATGGCCGCTTAGCGCGGGCTTTTTGAAATTTAACTTTCTGCTAGTCGCGCAAAAATATAATGAAGAAAATCAAACAAAAAAAATAAATTGGCAAAATATTTGACTAGTTTCAAATCATAAAACAACCATATTGACTGTTTTGTTATTTGAAACTAGTCAAATATTTTGCCAATTTATTTTTTTTTTGTTTGATTTTCTTCATTATATTTTTGCATTAATTTCAAACTTGAAATAAAATGCAATTTATTTTATTTATTTTTTTTATTACAGTAAATTAACGCCGCATCATATAATTTGTCTATTTAAACATGGAAATAGGTTTTCTGTAACAAACTCGACATATTTAAGTACTCAAGACCAATATAACAGTTTTGCAACTTGGAGTGGCAATAAATTTGAAAAAACTGAAGCATCATCCTTTTGGTGTCTTACAATCAAGGCGAATTTGAGGGTGGATAAAATTTGCCATATGCTTATTGAGTCCACTAGTTAAGTTGAGGAACATTTCTTCATCCGATATTGTTTTATTGATTTATTTGTACAGCACCTGTAGTTATCAAATTCTTATTCATCATCTGAGCACTGTGATAAATAAATTTAACTTTCGAGCTAAAATTAAACTTATACACGTTTGGACCTTTGAAGATTTTGGGGTGTTTTCTTGTTTGATGTAAATGGCATTGAATCAAATTTTGATATTGATGGCTAAGGCTCAAATATTTCATCTATCTACAGGGTATTTTGAAGGGCCAACATTTTCTTTATAACAATGATCATTTAAAAACTGAAAACAAAAAGAAATTTAAATAACAAACCAATTATTTTAACACTGAATCAAAAACAAGTTTGTAAATATTACTTACCATTGATATGCCAGTACAAGATGCATTTTTCTTAAGAGACTTATTATAAATTGTATGTTTATCCTTAATATGACGACCGCATATTTAATACGTGGTATAAATTGCATCACTACCAATATCTGGGTGTGCTTCATTGTTCGTTGCTGAAATCCATGTTCCCATCTCTTGAAAACATGCTTAAAATTGGAAGGTGTAGATGAATTAAAATTCAATACACCTTCAAATGCGACGGCCATTTTAATTTTTCCAAGTATGAAGTTTTGTTGACAAGCTGACAACTGACATGACATTTCGATACGAACGCCATCCCGTTAATTGGAGTAGTACTAAATTACCGTCCTCATGTTTTTCCATTTGAGTTACCAGCCCCTGATCTACGGGCAATAGCACTTACCAGAACCGCGCTATTTCCCAAAAAGCGTCGCGATGCAGAATTTTCATATATCCACTCCTCGAGCGGCAACCCCCGAGGTCGCAAACTTAGGTGTAATATCAGGGGACGCATATCTACCATCCCACCAAATTTCATTTCTTTCCGACCTTTTGCGAATAGACCCCCTTATTCTTTACCCACCGCTTGGACTATATATAATAGGAAATATGCATTAGTAAATTTCAATTGTCTAGCCAATGACATATATTGATTAATAGACTGCTCATGCATATATAAACAAGACGACGAAAAGCGGGTCATATTGCTTGGCTTGCCGAGTGCTCACCAGGCAGAATCGGTCTGGCCCAAATGAGTTTAAAACTCATATTTCATCAAAGTAGGAATTGAATTAAAAAAAAATTATCTGTATGTTTATTTCAAGACAGGAGCTTGCGTTAGATATTTTAAAAAAGGATTTTGAGTCATAACGTCTAGTTTCCCAATTTTCAAAACATTTTAAGAGATCTAACCAATTTTGAAGATAGATATAAACAATTTTACACTAATGTGTATATAACTAACTTTAGACCACGACCACTGTATAGTGGCACTATTCGGACACTTCATTATTCTTTTAAAATTTATTTTGCATTATAAAAGCAGATATTATGCAAAAATTGAATGAACTTTTTAAAGATTTTACTAAAAGTTAGTAGCTTTTTCACATTCTAAAGTTTGTTCCCTTTAGACAATTAAGGATTATTTTGGCGGTGAATGTCAATGATTTGATAAATAATAATAAGATTCCACCAGTGGAAATCTGATCAACATCATAGTAAAATGAACTAGGTATAAAGTGCAATTTTAGTTGACGTCAAGATCCATTTAGCATCGGTAAGGAGGAAAGAAAGATTCTGACTTACAATCACAAAAAGAACGTACAACTAAGCTTAGTCGATGTAAGTTAGCTCAGATTAGTGGTAAAAAGAAAGCGACTATTAATAAAAAGAAAAGTAATCCAGCTAAAACACGAATTATGGCTACTGTCTTTAATAATGATATGTTGCCAGTACTAGTAGAATGTTCAGTGTTGAGTTATCTTCTTCAGGCAATGGATGTACGTATGCATAATTTAAAATGTTTGGTTAATTATTATTATGTTTAAAGTGTTTTTGCAGTTAATGAACATATATCTACTACTGAAGCAGATAATGAAGATTTGTGTACTGCTGAAGAGCTTTGCTTAATTTACAAAACTTCGTTTAAAAGCAGAAAATTGGGATCGATTGTTCAACACAAGTGAAGAGTGGTGATTTAGTTGATCCGTTTTCAAACAGAATTGTCAGTGCTAAAGAACTATCTAATTTAATAGGATTGCAATCCTTCCAGTTATTAGCCACCATTATGGAATTCGTTGTTTCTAAAGAATAGGAAAAAGGAGATCAGTTATGTCTGTAAAGGATCAAGTTATATTTACTTTTATGAAGTTGAAAACTGATATGCAAGATATAATGTCTTATCCATTTTATTGGGAGTGAATGAAACTTTTTATCATTAAATTTTTTAACATTTTTTAATAAAACTGGTAGAAGTTCTTAGTATGGTATAATTCGGCCTTCAAAACAAGAAATATTAAATAATGTGCCTCTATGTAAGTAAGAGTACTACTTGATTGTACCGAAATCCCAATACAGCAAGCCAAATGTCTTTGTTGTAGGCTAAAAAATTACTCTGACTACAAAAAGAGGCATACTATTAAAATATTGACTGGAGTGTCACCTACTGGTCTCATTACTTACAAAAGTAAAGCATATGGTGGTAGAACTTCAGAAATAGACATTTTTTAACAAAGTTCAATACTTGAAGTGTGTGAATCATTTCTCGATAGTAAAATGTTTAACAAAGGTTTTCTTATTGAAAACATAACAGAAGCCGAAGGTATACAAATTATACAGCCTCCTTTCCTCAATAAAAAAAATCAGTTCAGCCATTAAGAGGCTATACTTAATGCCAAAATTGCCAGAGCTAGAATTCACATAGAAAGAACCTATCAAAGAATAAAAGTGTTTGTCTCTCTGTATTGGTACTTATGTCCATTTTTCTTCTATTTATATTGTTTTTATTATACGATACTTCTCTGTATCTAACTAAATTTTAAAATGTACTTGTAAAGCCCAGATAGCTCTAACTCGGGCCTTTGAATATAATAATATTTATGTAATTGTATTTACAATAAATACTTTATTATTAATATTATTATTATAATTAATTATAATTCATAAAATTATTATAAACGTATTTACCTTGTACCTACTTGTATTGATACTTGCGTGAAAAATGAAATGTTACTTTTTATATTTCTGTAGCTGGTCTTACAACCCTTTATAGAGCAATTCACCATTTAAATTTAAAAACAAAACAAGTTTTTATACTCAAATAATTAAAAAATTTAAAACAGAACATAAGTATAATTAAATCTAAATAAAATAAACAACTCAACAAAATGTCCGACTGAGTAATGACAATGAGAACAAAATCTCAACTAGACTAAACTTTCTTTAAAACCGGTCCTGTAAAAGTTTTGTTTACCAGTGAGCACTCAAAATTGAGACAAAACACAAACATTGCATGCACTAGACAAAGAGAAAACATCTCCCAGTTCGACCAAAGAAGTAGAGAGGGTAGAACGATAAGGTACCGTCTGCGCATCTATCACGAGTGTAGAAATTATGCGTG